TGTCTGACTTTCTTGCCTCTGCCCTGGTATTCACTGAAATGACACACCTGGGCTAGAAACAGCAACTTCTGTGTCTCTGATGTTCCTTTAAAAAAATAGTTTGGATTGCATGGTCCTTATTAAAATGAAGTAGTAAGAAGCTAATTTCAAATAAATTCTCAATCCATAACATTGCTACTTAGGCCACCAGAGGGCTCCACTAAATGTACCTTGCCCACATCAAATTTTGGTCTTGCCCTCTACAACTATTCACTCCTCATCATTCATTTTATTTGCTTCAGCACTGACATGGTTTGCAAAACTATACAATCTGTAATTGACTGAAAACATGTAATTTAAGCTTTTTCATCTAGATCAATAAATTTGTTCATTCAGGAAAAAGTCAATAATTTTTAAGTCTCATCTGAGTACAAAAAAAGTAGGGCTTGAATACTGCAAGTCAATCTATTGAGAATGTATCCCAGTATAAGGACAAGAGAGGCACTAGGAAGAGGGCATCCACGCCCCCCTTGCCCCCCCCCCCTCCTTGCGGACGCCACTGGAAATAAATAAGTTCTAGGTATGGAGATCTAGCTGGCTCTTTACAGCAAAAAGACAACTGAACACTATTTGAAAAACAAATCGAGATGAATTGATGTTAAAAACATGTAAAGCCATGTATATCTACCATCAATTTCAGCATAGTCCCTAGAATATTAGGTAATTATCATTTAATTTTGAAACCATGCAGCACACAGACTACTTAGTAGAACAAACTAGTAGAGAACATTCTAAAAGCATGTATTCAAGGAAAAAATGTTGATATGCTCTGGAAGTCTAAAAATACTGAAACTGTAAGTGGCTATTACTGTTTTCCCCAATCCATATTGTAGTGTGTACTGTATCATTGGAATGTCATCAAGTAATCGAAGGGTAGCTCTAGCCCCTGACATTTTTGAGCTAAAAATTAGCAATTTCTTGGCAACTTCCTCATTGTTGTGCAAACCACCAACCAGCTTGGTAACATAACTTAGCGTTCGGAGAATCTGCAATGATGAATGTGTCAAATAATACTTTTGTTCAGATTTTCCACAATCCAACAACTACCTTGTCTCTACCTTTATAGGTTTCTAGAAGGAGACAAATCTCGTCAAGAACAGATTGCATCGTCGTCATTAACATTAATGAATCATTGAAATATGTAAATTAGGAAACCACATTATCAAAGAATTGAACTCGTCTCGTGAATTGTGATTTGTGATTTTATACAATCTGAAATCTGAGAATTTGTGATTCGAGTCTGAAAAGCTAGGTTAAAAAATCATGAAAATAAACAAAGGGGCAGGGCTTAGGGCAGTCAACAGTCATATCTGTCATTACATATATCCACCTTTTCTGTTAATAGTAATTAAATTAATATGTGACTTCAGTGGTTCATAAAATGACGAAAACTACCTTGGTGGTAATGAAACACTTTACGCCTCGAATAGGAGAATAATGATAGGTCAATAGCTAGTGGTGGAAAAAATTCCGTATGTTTACTTTCTGACTAGGGTCCCTTCCCTTGATAGAAATTGACGTTGAAGTCATCTCAATAGGGTCAAAATAGGGTACGGGTATTTTTTAATGATTTAGAGACTTTAGTTTTGTCTACTGGCATCCCTGACATTGCTGTCACGTCACATCCATGGGCGCTACAGAAAATCATTCAAAATTTTAATAATAGGTATGTACAGGGTTTTCACTTGTTGAGGAAGATCCGATTCTATATAAAATTGGAAGGTATATCTGGGTTTTCCGGGGTTGGAGCTAATGATTGTTTCGTCAAACTTGGAAAATTCATGATGTCGGATCCAATGTATAGCGAAAGAAATTTCTAATTATGATCCGATTCTATTGAAGATTGGTATCTGAGGGTTTTCGGGGTCGAACTTCATGATTTTTGGTCAAAATTGGGCAATTCAAGATTGCGGATCCAATATGGAGAACGAATTTCGTAATTATGATCCAATTCTATTCAAAAACTGAAATTGGTATCTGCTATAGAGCAGGAAAATGTATCTACCAAATGGTTGGGAAGAATTCTATAGCTAAAATTCACAAATAAAATTGAAGAATTTCTAAAACTGCCTGATGTCATAAATTATACCGGGCATATAGTTTCAGAAGAACCTCGGCAAGTTTACATGCCAATTCTGGAGGAGACATTCTTGCTTGGATGTCTGCGAATATCACTGAAGGGTATGTGCAGCAATCTCTCACAAAATATCAAAAAATTTCGAACCAAACTGTGGGCACTGAAGTTTTTTATGGAAATATCACGAAAACTGCATTGGCTCCAGATCTCACTTCTAGTGGTATTCAAATAACCACTGCTCAAAACTGCACTTTCAACATTAGTTTATATAATTATTACTCTACCACAAATTGAAAAGTTGTAAGATGCAAGAGTGAAAATAACATGCCCAAAAGTTATAATGTATTTCTACTTCTTTGTTACATTCATCAATAAATTATTTGGAAATGACTTTTTATTTAAGGGAGGCGGAAAAATCATATGTATAACATGGGGGTAAAGTATATTCTATTCTTTATTTTCCTGCAATTTCACGTATTACTTTCTATAAGCCTACTTTTCGTCTTAGAATTAACTAGTCACTCCATAAATTTTTCTTCGAGTTGGATTTCCGAAAATATGTTTAGCACACATGAGTACAGTTGTTCTGATACCCACATCGAGGTTTTCACGATTTCTCAATCATAAGGCTCAGCTCATAGTAACTATATCTTTTGGTATAGTTGAATCAGGAATTCCATATGAAAATTAGGTATGATACGCCAATGACCTGAATATAACCTCAAAAACAACAAATGACAAAAATCTGACAGGTATTTTGAGCCGATACCACTCGATACATCTAGAAATATCAGAGTAGCTACTCCTTTGATTCATTTCCACTACGTGTGACCAATATTTTTAAAACAAAAATTGTTTGCCTGTATGTCATTGTGGTAATTTATTTTTTGGTAATGAAGAGGGTCGATCTCTTTACTACATATTGTATGTTAAGTCATTCCATAATCACGAGATTTTTGGAAAAAATATATTTTCAGCCTATGTAAAATTCTTTCATATCGTTGTGATTTTCAAAAAAGAAATAGCACCTGTATACAAAATATATCCCCCCCCGTTCAATTTTATTATCATCATTAGTCATAGATAAATCATTTTTGTTCGGAAATTAATCGGTTAGCAGCATGATTCATCTTATTAGTCATTCATTCGGGACCAGGTGGTAAATCACGACAGTCTTATATCAGATGTCATCTCGTACCGTCTAATTTTGTGATCGACATCGAAAAATACGCGAAAGGAATTATTATCGTTCCAAACTGAGTGTTCCCTAAAAACTGAGTGATCGTATTGATTCGTATATAGTGTTTTTGTGTTCCTCATACGATTCAATAATAATAATATCGGATCGTGGGTTGTTCTAGTGTTTCGTGTTGTTTCATCAAAGCCTCACTTTCTTCACGCTGGTGAGTGCAGAGAATTTCTCTCAATTTTTCTTCTTATTTCTGTGTATTCATTTAACTTCATTACCCTATACAGGGTATGTCACGACGAGCTTATACTATCTTTATATCGAGAATCAGTCGGGAGAAATCGATGAAAATTTGCATGCATATATTTTTTTATACTCTCTTTCCATTTAAGATATGTTCGACAATGCAGTGTTGCCGCTTCTACTAGAAAGTAGTAGCAACATTGATATTTCGAACAGAACACCCTGTATTTTATCGCATTTTAAGATTATCCCTAAAGAGTTGATTCCATCGATATATCATACTTGGGATTCATCAAAAATGATTACAGAGATATAGGGTGTTCAAAATCGATATTTTTCAACTTTAGTATTTTTTTGTGTCGAAAATATTCATTATCGGCCGAAACGGCTCACATGTCCCTATCTCTACTTTCGTTTCACTATTTACTGATATTTAATCAGGACAGATTACACCGTCCACCACCACATGAAGCGATCTGCCTGAAAGAAAACTCGATAAGAGATGGCATAGCTGAGGTGGTAAGCCGTATGATGGTAGTTTGTGGAGGAGTCCTTTGTGCCAAACACGGTCAAATGCTTTCGATATGTCCAACGCGACAGCTAAAGATTCCCCGTGTTTTTCTAATGAAGCTTGCCATAAATGGGTGACGTAGGCAAGTAGATACGCCAATGACCTCAATATAACCTAAAAAACAACAAATGACAAAAATCTAGTGTTCTGTCCGCAATTCCGTACTCTGACTAGGGTCCCTTGATGTGAATTGACGTATTTGTCATCTTAACAGGGTACGGACAGATCAGATCCTCGTCTCCTCTCGCTCTAAAGTGTTTGTAGCCTTCATAGTTTCTTAGATTGTTGACGATGACGATTCTGTATACGAAGCACTACTTCCATCATTCGAGGCACGGTAAAAGACGTTTTAAAACGTTCGTCAGTTCTCAAAAGTGTCAAATTACATGTCAACAATAGAAAGAATGAATTTATACGGTAACAATTCACATAAAAAAGTGCCTCTAGCCAATGACGGCTAAATATCTGGACTGTCTGACGACAAGTTTATTACATGCGTCCTAGCTCTAGACTATTTTAACAAGGTTGAGAAGCACCGAAACGATTAACGAACAGACCTTCCGCTGTCACTGTGGTAGAATCACGAATGTCGAATTTGACATCTATAGGTTATGTAGATACGTTCCTTTTGAAAAATATTATATTTGAAATGAGTGAATCCAAAAAATAATTGTATACTACCAAATATTCTTCTTTATTCAGTTTCACAATTCTGTGTAGAATAAGCTGATACTTTGTCAATACTATAAAGGGTTCAGCAAAAATGTTCCAATTGACTACCATGATGACAAGAAGTTCAAAGAGCTGCAGTGTTTTACCCTTACTATTGAGGTTCAACAATTATTCATCGTCCTCCTCATTTCCCGAACTGAAATTCACAGCGAATCAACCGTCACCTGATTCAGGAAATAGTATAAGTTCTGGCAAGGTGTTCAAAGGCCAGCGACCCATTAATTCTATGGTAGCTGCAGTTTTTGATTCCTTGAAGGGTGAAAACAGTCAAATCAAGACCCCTCAAACAGATTCCAAACTTGTAGAAGCCACAACTGTAGGTGAATTGCTTACTGTAACAGATGGTAATGGAGTTTCAAGAAGGCATGCATTGAAGGTGAATATCAAGAGGTTGAATAATATGTTCATCATGTACAGTGTACAGTTTGAAGCAAAATCAATACCTATTCTTGCATTCATCAGAATAATTCATTGTCTGTACATGTATCAAATGTCTTCCAGAAATGTTTACATAATAATTATTGCTGAACATTTCATGAGTTCTGAAATACATTATAATTACCTCATTTTAGGTAGTTTCAATTCTAGCAGATTGGTCATCTACTGGTAAAGTGAAGCTGTCTGATTTCGAAACTGATCCAAGATTTCTGAGATTGTGCAGAATCTTGAGCAAACAATCATCTGCAGTAGCAAAAACTAGCAGGAACATATCTCATGGTGAGGATCTTTCCACTATATTGAATATAACTGCTGAGGATGAGGCTGCTAAAATGGTGACAGGTTTAACTTTATCACAAATGGTTAAGGTAAGTAATTAAACATATTTATTGACTATTTTATTGTATATGTATATCATTTATTGATCTTAGGAATCTTTTGAACTATCTTCTATCAATCATCTTGGCATTTATAGTATGAACTTTGATTTTAAACTATTGTCTGTAATATCAATGACATTTTGTACTATTTTACTAGTCAACATCAATGAGTTATCAAATTCATTTGGTCTCATCTATGAATTTGTCAGTTTTGTCATCATATCACATGATATTTTTGCCTTATTGATCATTCTAGAACACATGATTTTGACATGGTTTCTTGAGGGGCACACAAACTATCTGTTAGGTTACCTTTGATGAGCATTGCCCAGGCCGTCCCTCTGCCACATCTACAATATAATGACAGTTTCACCAAACGAAATTATGGAATTCTTTCTGGTTCCAACTCGGATTCCAAGAAAAACGATCCCACTAATTCTGGTTTTCTATGACAGATTTTGACAAAATACAATGTTTGCCCCTCAGCAACCTGTCAAATGACGTAATTGTGGAATGATTAATGTGGTTAATCTGACATAACAAATATTCAGTACCTTTCATCTGGTTATGTAGGCTTCTTTTTGTAGTATGGGATTTTCAGATTTTCATTTGTTTATAATATCAAACTACATCATGGTTTTATGTGCTAATAATAATAATAATGTTTACCAGCCACTTTGGTACAAAATGCACATGTGGTAAGTCATATCACAATAAAAATTGTAGGGTAAAACTGCATTTATCATGTGATGGTTTTTTTTTCACGGGAGTGAAGTTAGCCACATCCACAAAATACACCCAGAAAAATTTATCGCCGAAAATGTGTTCAGCAGTTTCACCCGATTTCAGATGGAATTTGAACGCATTTCATAGGACGACTGAAGAGGGGTGAGAGCCTGAGTCGAATTTGATAGGGAGGTGGTGAATCGATAGTTTGTCAGGCCGTCTAAGGGGGTAGAAAAGGGGTTGAAAAACAAAAAAAATCATTATCTCCGTTAATACTCGTTGTACATGGATTTTGGAGGCAGGAAACGATTCTACTGATTGTATTTGATAGAAAGGTGTTGAACTCATAGTTTGTCAGGCCGTCAAAGGGGGTAGACAAGGGGTTAAAAACAAAAAAAATCAATATCTTCGTTAATATTCGTTGTACATGAATTTTGAAGGCGGCAAACGAATCTACTAATCGAATTTGATAGGGAGGTGGTGAACTCATAGTTTGTCAGGCCGTCAAAGGGGGTGGAAACGGGGTTGAAAAACAAAAAAAAATCAATATCTTCGTTAATATTCGTTGTACATGGATTTTGAAGGTGACAAAGGAATCTACTAATCGAATTTGATAGGGAGGTGGTGAAGTCATAGTTTGTCAGGCCGTCTAAGGGGGTGGAAACGGGGTTGAAAAACAAAAAAAATCGATATCTCCGTTAATATTCGTTGTACATGGATTTTGAAGGTGACAAACGAATCTACTAATCGAATTTGATAGGGAGGTGTTGAACTCATAGTTTGTCAGGCCGTCAAAGTGGGTAGAAAAGGGGTTGAAAAACAAAAAAATTCGATATCTCCGTTAATATTCGTTGTACATGGATTTTGAAGGTGACAAACGAATCTACTAATCGAATTTGATAGGAAGGTGTTGAACTCATAGTTTGTCAGGCCGTCTAAGAGGGTAGAAAAGGGGTTGAAAAACAAAAAAAATCAATATCTTCGTTAATATTCGTTGTACATGGATTTTGGAGACAGGAAACGATTCTACTGATTGTATTTGATAGAAAAGTGTTGAACTCATAGTTTGTCAGGCCGTCTAAGGGGGTGGAAACGGGGTTGAAAAACAAAAAAAATCGATATCTCCGTTAATATTCGTTGTACATGGATTTTGAAGGTGACAAACGAATCTACTAATCGAATTTGATAGGAAGGTGTTGAACTCATAGTTTGTCAGGCCGTCTAAGGGGGTAGAAAAGGGGTTGAAAAACAAAAAAAATCAATATCTTCGTTAATATTCGTTGTACATGGATTTCGGAGGCAGGAAACGATTCTACTGATTGTATTTGATAGAAAAGTGTTGAACTCATAGTTTGTCAGGCCGTCTAAGGGGGTGGAAACGGGGTTGAAAAACAAAAAAATTCGATATCTCCGTTAATATTCGTTGTATATGGATTTTGAAGGTGACAAACGAATCTACTAATCGAATTTGATAGGAAGGTGTTGAACTCATAGTTTCTCAGGCCGTCTAAGGGGGTAGAAAAGGGGTTGAAAAACAAAAAAAATCAATATCTTCGTTAATATTCGTTGTACATGGATTTCGGAGGCAGGAAACGATTCTACTGATTGTATTTGATAGAAAAGTGTTGAACTCATAGTTTGTCAGGCCGTCTAAGGGGGTGGAAACGGGGTTGAAAAACAAAAAAATTCGATATCTCCGTTAATATTCGTTGTATATGGATTTTGAAGGTGACAAACGAATCTACTAATCGAATTTGATAGGGAGGTGGTGAACTCATAGTTTGTCAGGCCGTCAAAGGGGGTAGAAGAGGGGGTAAAAACAAAAAAAAATCAATATCTTCGTTAATATTCGTTGTACATGGATTTTGAAGGCGGCAAACGAATCTACTAATCGAATTTGATAGGAAGGTGTTGAACTCATAGTTTCTCAGGTCGTCTAAGAGGGAAGGAAAGGGGTTGAAAAAGGAAATAAATCATTATTTCCGATAATATCAGTTATCAGATAGAAATATAAAGTCTTGACAAAATGAACAGCAAGTTCCGAAAATATGAGTTATCTGAGAATTCAGATACTTTGTAATATCTGATATTGAATTGTATTCCTACTGATTCTGCTATTTCTGAACAAACACCCAAGTAATTCCTGAGTCTTCGAAAAAATATGTGGAATATATTTTTTCATCGAAAAAGATGAAATAATGTCATGTTCATAAGATTCTTTGAGTGTTATCAAGAAATAATCGATAGATTTCATTTCAAATGTCATTGATTATCAATATTGTAAGATGGTGTGAACTCACATTTTTTTACAATTGCATGTGAAATAATCTGAAAAAAATTTATAAAATTAATGACAATTTTGAAGAAATGCTTTATTAAAAAATATATTTTGTTAGAATGAACTTCAAAAAACGATCCATAACAGCTTTCAGACAAGAAATCGTATAATCTATTTTTCATGACTCATCAGACGGAAACTGCTATTCTCGAGTCGCGAAAGAGTTTACTCTGGTTAAGTTTCCGCAGATGGATCCAACCATAGATGTAGATTATGAAATACATAGATCGGCAGAACCTCCTTACAGTTCAGAAACGCCAAATTTGTCGCTATCACGATTCTTTATTAAATTGAATAATGTTCATAGCTTCCAACGTTGGAGGGGGGCTATTATGAAAGAAAAGAAACGAAAAATATTTGAAATTTTGCATCCTAAATAGATCTTTATTGATTAATTATAAAACTCAACAGATAGAACTCTATAAAAAATGGTAACACTTCGAAAATAACGTTAATTAAGTAGAGGATACACTTCCCAATGTGCAAAATGATTTTTCATGATAAAAAAAAATGAAAGGTTCTCAATCAGATTATCTAGGTTCCCGGAAAGTGTTATTATGAAAAACTCACTGATTTTGTATAAGTAAATTATAACCGGCATATTTTGTAAATTTTTGGGTACATTCATAATTCTTTTCTGATTGATTAGGTGAGGAAACTGAAATTCTACTCACAGGGAACCATTCATTCATCTTCGAGAAAAGTACACCTGACAGATGATGTATTCCCCTTCTATGTTTGAATTGTCCTATGATCTGGTAGCTCGAGGACTACCATACGCAGAGAATATTAACGAAGATATTGATTTTTTTTGTTTTTCAACCCCTTTTCTACCCCCATAGACGGCCTGACAAACTATGAGTTCACTACCTTCCTATCAAATTCGATTAGTAGATTCGTTTGCCGCATTCAAAATCCATGTACAACGATTATTAACGAAGATATTGATTTTTTTTGTTTTTCAACCCCTTTTCTACCCACTTTGACGGCCTGACAAACTATGAGTTCAACACTTTTCTATCAAATACAATCAGTAGAATCGTTTGCCGCCTTCAAAATCCATGTACAACGAATATTAACGGAGATATTGATTTTTTTTGTTTTTCAACCCCTTTTCTACCCCCTTAGACGGCCTGACAAACTATGAGTTCACCACCTTCCTATCAAATTCGATTAGTAGATTCGTTTGCCGCCTTCAAAATCCATGTACAACGAGTATTCACTGAGATAATGAGTTATTTTCGTTTTCAAACCCCTTTTCTTTCCCTTTAGACGACTTGATAAACTATCGATTCACCACCTCCCTATCATATTCGACTCAGGCTCTCACCCCTCTTCAGTCGTTCTATGAAATGCGTTCAAGTTCCATCTGAAATCGGGTGAAATTGCTGAACACATTTCCGGCGATAAATTTTTCTCGGTGTATTTTGTGGATGTGGCTAACTTCACTCCCGTTTTTTTTTCCACAATTTTTTTGGATGCTTATGTATTTTTGTCTGAAATACACGATTTTGATAATGAAAATGTGAACAAACCATTATTTATCAAGATATTTGACTATAAAGTTACAAATTTCACCTTCTTTTTCGCCTGTCTTCTGGATGGCATTTAGAACAATTTTCCCTTCTTTTTTCATCATATTGGACAATTTTTATATATGTATGACAATGTATGACACATTTTTTTAAATATAATATATTAAAAAAATCATATTATGATTCAACTATAAATATGATTTTCTTGAGATCTGTCCATATTTAGTGAAAAGAAGGATATCTCTGAAAGAATATCATTTAAAATAATGGCATGTGTAATGTCATTCCAAAGCAATCTATTGACATTTGACATCTAGTATTTTGATTGATTATTGATTAAATGGCCGTCATCTGGAATGCTTGTTCACTAAATATGAAAAATTCACCATAAAATCATATTTCCTGTTGAATTTTCTATATAAAAATGTGTCATCAGAGTACATCATGGGTACATAAAGTGTCCAATGATGAAATAAGAAGAGCAAGTAGTAGTAGAAGGCGGAAAGTTCGAACTTTTTCTTGAAATAGCTCCATAAATAGTGGTTTGTCCACATTTTCATTATCAAATTAGTGTTTTTCAGACAAAAATACATAAGTACCAAAAAATTATTCGAAAAAAAAACCCATCACATGATAAATGCAGTTTAACCAATTGTAGTAGTGAGAACATAAAAATTTTAATAAATTGCAAAACATTGCAAACATAATAACACACATACAACATCATCTAAAAAATTCTTGCTGACTATAATCACACTTCTCAATTAACAAACATTTAGTATTATCAAAAAATATTTTGTCACATTGCTTTGCTCATCCTGCCAAATCATATCATCACACAAAATGAAGCATTTCCTAACTGGTTATGCAAAAATATATTTTTCTGTGATGGGAAAAAAGTTTGAAATTTTTTTTGTTTTAAGGAGAGAAAATACCAAAAAATCAAGTAAAATGAATACAACTTCTTAACTTTTAAAAAATTATTTTATTTAGGGGTTTGGTTAGGATATCTGCAACTTTATCACTGCTTGGAATATATTTTATTTCTAAAAAACCTTTAATTTTTTCTTTGACAAAATGATATTTGATATCCACATGTTTAATTCTTTTAAGTTGTTCATGATTTGTACAGGATCAAATAGCAGATTGATTATCTTCATAGATAATAACTTTCAGCTGTTTATAAAGTCCTAACTCAACTATGAAATATCTTAACCAGCAAACTTCACTTGTACATGCACTTGAGGCTATTATTTCTGCTTCAGCAGTTGGGATAGCAACAGTGCTTTGGTTACGTGAGGTCCATGAAACGACATTGTCATAAACATAAATGAGAAAGCCACTAGTTGATATTCTGTCCGTAGTGTCACCACCCCAATCTGCAACCGCATATGCTGAAACAATTTCCTTACTGTCACTTTTAAAAACCAACTTCAACTGTAAAGTCCCTTTTATGTACACCTGCTTGAGAGATAATAATAACTTTTCAGTTGCACAGTTTTGATATCTCGATAACATACTAATATTTGAACATGAATCTGGCCTAGTTTCTAACATTGCATACATTATACAACCTATAATATGTCTGCATTTATTTTCTATTTCATAACTTTCTGACATCATATTTTAAACATTCATAATCAAAGTTATTGTCCATTGGTGTACTTACACTCTTTGATTTCAGCATACCAAATCTTCTTAAAACATTTTCCAAATACTGTTTTTGACTTGATACTATTGTTTTATTATTAAATCTTGTTCAACTAATGTTATATTTCTTATATGTATCAATATTTAATACATAATATTCATATTTACTGACTTTCATGTATTGGTACAAGTACCATTCTGAAGTTAAATTAATAATGCTTGAGTCGTCACTTCTGACAATTGACAAACCCCTCTCCTCAAGTGACACAGGACACTTGTCATAAACTAGACAGGGTTGCCACTTGATGATGATACATATTTCAAGTATATCTCTAAATACAACAACTAATATACCTAGAAAATAGTTAAGCCAACCTAAATCTTTCATCTTGACGTTTACATTCAAATTAATCTTTCAATCTCTTTTTCAGATGAACCACTGATTGAAATATCATCAACAAAAATAATGACATAAATAGTTACATTATCAGAAATTCGTACATATAGGCAGTTGTCATATTTATTTTTCTAAAATCCCTCATTCTTCATGAAATCATCAAACTTTTGATACCAATATAGAGGCGCTTTTTTAAGACCATAGATTGCTTTATTCGATTCGCAAACCATATTTTGGATATTATAACCTTCAGGCAAATACATGTAAAGATCCTCCTTCAATTCACCATGTGTAAGAAAGCATCACAGACATCCATTTGATAAACAATCCAGTTATTCTGTACACACAGAGCCAAAAATGTCCGTACAGTTGTTAACTAGTGGGCTATACACATCTTCAATAATATTTTTTTAAACCCTCTTGCTACTAAACGACACTTGAACTTACTGATGTTACCTTCCTTACCCTTTTAAATTTTGAATATCCACTTGCTATCTACGATCTCACATTTTTGAGGCTTTTCGACCAACTGCCAGGTGTTATTCACTATTAGGGCATTTATTTCTTCATCAATTGCTGTTTTCCACATACTGGCATAGTTACTTCTCATTGCTTCATCATAAGTAGTCGGCTCATCGACATCTAAGCTAAAGAAACTTAAATCATAATAATCATGTAAATTTTTAGTCACTTTTAAGACTCTAGAAGGTCGCAATCTTAGGTCTCTATCCCTCAGTAGAGTTTGGTCTAACTCTGTTTCTAGATTATCTTCTCCTTCCACAATCTGTGGTACCTCTGGTGGCTCCTCCTCCAAGTCTTCCAACTTTTCCCCATCAATATTCTCTGCACAATTCTCTAAATCAAGAGAAATAATTTTCCCTTCTGAATTTTCCATTTGTTCAAAAGTTACCTCTCTTTCAATAGCCACTGTATTTTTTTCCTTTGTAATAGACCCTGTACCCTTTAACATTATCTGAACATCCAACGAATATTCCAGATTTGCTCTTCATATCTAATTTTTTACTTTTTTCTGGAGGTATGTAAGCCCATACCTTACTGCCAAAAATTCGTTTAATCATCTTCAAATCAAAAGATCTTTTAAATAATAGTTCATAATGCGTTTTTCCTTGAACTGAGGTCATACCAGTCCTATCCAATAAGAAAACAGCAGTATTTGCAGCCTCTGCCCAAAACATTTTCGATAATTTACATTCTGCAAGCATAGCTCTCACGGACTCTACTAAAGTTCTGAATTCCCTTTCCGCTCTACTATTTTGTTGGGGAGTGTATGGCACAGTACACACATGTTTAATACCCTTATGTTTTAACAAAGTTCCAACGGAATGATTTAAAAATTCCCCACCATTATCGCTTCTAATAATTTGTATCTTCTTATTAGTCTGATTCTTGAATAACACCAGGAAATCCTTCAAGATTTCAAACACATGTGACTTATTTTTCAAAAAATGAACAAACCTGTAATTACTATTATCATCTTTCAACAAAAACATACAGTGAATTTTTAAATGAAGCTTCCTCCATGGGGCCACAGATCCACATGTATTAAATCTCCTGGTTCAGACGCCCAATTTTTTTTTAATTTAAAAGGATACCTGCATTGT